AAGATGAGAACTGGCGACTTGGTAGTACAACTTTAGTACGCGGAGTATCTGTGGAGTGGGAAGATGAGAACTGGTGACTTGGTAGTACAACGTTAGTACGCGGAGTATCCGGGGAGCTGGAAGATGAGAACTGGCGACTTGGTAGTACAACTTGAGTACGCGGAGTATCTGGGGAGCTGGAAGATGAGAACTGGCGACTTGGTAGTAGAACTTTAGTACACGGAGCAATCTGTGGAGCTGGAAGATGAGAACTGGCGACTTTGTAGTACAACTTTACTACGCGGAGGTGACTTTCGAGAACACATACACACACAGACATAGATACACACACACAGAGACCCACACACTGCCTCAACACACTCGACTTAACACTTCACACTGAACACTTATAACACACTTAACAGATAACTCGCACTCTGACTTCCTACGTGATGAAAAATGCTTTCGGGCCACTCGTCGTCTAGTTTTTTTCTGAAATCGAACAACTTCACACATGAAGACAACCTATATATACTGAAATACTGGTATAGAGTCTGGTAAGCTATTAGAGCTATTATTATATTACATTTACTGTAATTGCTATTCGGATCTGTTCTGTTGGTTCATCAGTGGATGAACGAAACCTTCTTTGGTCCAAATCCATATCAATCCCTCTATTCAATGACGACTTCTCCGTGCAAAAAAGGCTATGAACTATTTAGCATTTTGAAGACCCAAGCCAAAGAAACCAGGCAGCTTCGGTGTCAGGATTGGCTCAAACCTCGCCAGCGAGACTTCCCGCCGGAGATCTATTCAATGCTGGAGAGATTGAAGAAAGGGGGGAAGCCTGTGTACAAGTTGGCCGATGAGGCGGATGGGAAGGTGTGAAGGATTGTGAAGGTGTTCTTCTTTTCTGGCCGCATCTTTGGTCCACCTCTTTGAGGCTTCAATCATGCTCGTGGCTGCCTGAGCTGCCTGACCAGTCTAGAGGACCTGTCCTTGCAGGCCTCTTAGACTGGGGGGTTATAGACGACCAACTGTTTAATCCACAAAGTTTACTCTATGTATCTCTACGTATAAAATGCTTGATGGAAAATGCTTGACAAACCTATAGGTTTGTCTATCCATTGCACCCAAACTTGACAAACGTGCGAGACCACTCTGTTCAGAGATGTTTAGAGACACTTTCTAAGCGTCATTTGCCATTGCTGACTAGAACCTGGACAGACCCGAATTTGGTTGACCCACCACATGGACGTCCCGTGTGCTTACTCCCCACACTCCGGTTCTGGCAAGCTCCAGCGATCACCACCACTTGACCGGACATGACCGAACTGATGGAACTTTCAGGGTGGTGGAGGTGAATAGGGTTAGATATAGCATACGGTCGGTGAGGATGTCCACAGGTGGGGACGTCCATGGGATGTTCTAACTTGGGAAGGGGGTCACAGAAATTCAGCTCACCATCTCTGAAAGCGACCGCTCTCGGACAAAGAAAAGGACGCGGTTTGGTGGCGTGGAACCTACGACGCAGACGAGTGAATCAAGCGAGTGAAGGGAGTTGAGTCCAGGCCTGGAAGACGACGCTCAATGAAATCAAGGTGAGCACCTTTGTGAAATATGTGAATCAACTGCAGGCAGATCGGATCAGAGTCATTTCAATCGGATGTGAGAAGCGGTTCCGAAGCGGTTCCGAACCAGATGCGAAGGGAGGGATGCTTGGACGGATGTTTGGATCAATGGATGTACTCAGAAAAAGACCGATCTTGTATGTGTATTGTCGCCTAGCCTAGCTCTTGGTTTTGACATGCTGGTTGGTTCATGGGCTTCAGAGTGGTTTTCACATGTTCATGCGAGACAAGTTGACCTCACCATACCTCACCTGTAGTCGGATTTGCTAAGTTTTGTCGCTTTCCTTCGGCGGTCGCCTGCCGAAGGGTCAGTGGCAAGACGGGTCACCTGCAGGTGCAACGCAATGGGGAAGGCCTTCTGTCCTTCTTGAAGAGCCTCACGATCGACGCTCGCTATTTGATCGCTAGGACGGTCGAAACGGTCCATTTGAGTTGATCCACTGTGACTCTCGGGCACCATTTGGAACTCCCCAAAACGATTCAGACATGTGATGTTGGTGTTCCCTTCTCAGGTGATGTAGAACATGGTAGAACTGATGCATTCATTTCATGAAATAGTTCATGTCACTTTCAGGACGGAGCAGACGGAGCAGACGCAAAAAACTGCATATTCTTAGCAGCACCATCCAGTTTGGGTGTCTTGTGCATAGAAATACAGTAGTCAGGGGTTTATAAACCATCAAAAGGGGGTGGTGCTGGAACATCATATTAAGTGCTCCTAGTGCTGGACCTTCCTGGGGAGTTTTCTTTATGGAGATAGAAAACCTCTATAGAGGTTCTTTTGATGGGAGCTGTTTGCACTCAGATTCTTTCACTTTCACATTTCTATCAGCCCATGAACTTGGAGCTTGCATTGTTTGAACATGTTTGAACGCCAGATGTCGTTGCAGAGTGGTTTGCAGCACCTATGAGGTAGCCACTAGCCACTAAAACGTGCAATATGTTGGGGTCTTGTCCCAGTAAACCTGCAATGGGAAGGATCAACCATATAATCACTATTTTTGAGATGTGGGCCTGCAACCTACTGTAACCACTCCATCCACTGTTACTGGTTGGATATGCCCAAGCGAGATTCCAATGGACTGTTCAGTTGTTTTGTGGTCAGTGGAGCAGAGGTTGGACAAGTTGGTAGTTTGTGACCACCAGGTTGCAGACTCACCCCCAAAAGAAGATAAACAGAACAGACATGTTCTACTCAGACACAGGCCCAAACAAAACAACATATAACCAACCTATCAAAATATCAAAGCCCTATCTCTTTCGATCGTGTGAGTCTGGCGGGCACGATCGTGCCTTTGTGCCTCTCAATTTCACATCACCATGACCATCCATGACCTGAATTCATGTTTCTTCATGCAACATCTTAGCAGTTTGGGGTTCAAGATCTGAAGCAAGAAGAGACACGTCAATGTGCCTCGACCCTGGCGGACCCTGGGCTTAAAATGTACATGAGATTCTCGGTCATCATGATGTTCCCAACCTGGCAGTTGCGTTGCTTCGCAATGATTCGATATGTTTCAATATGATGCTTCTGGACACAAACAAACAGAAAGCGGGTGTTGATAGGGAGGTAAACATAGCCTTTCAGATGCTTAAACAACATTGTACTTCAGTGTTTTATGTATGCCTTCGCATCATACACTTGTTCCATATTTACCTTAGGTCTCACTCCCCGTGGAAACGCCAAACACACGAGTCCGGATTTCGACGCTCTGACGTGGCATTTGTGCCACGCGGTCGCCGGCGGTCGCAGCCCTAGCCTGAGCCCGACTGAGGAAGTTGACGATAAGGAACTACTCACCTTTCTAAGAAAGGCCCTTAAGAAAGGCCGAACCGCACCGAGAATGTTGGGAGAATGTGGTGTTTTTGATTTCTTTAAAGTGACATAACATGATCTCGTGCTGCGTGACGTTGCGTTCTCTGACGTTGCGTTTCTGTTCCATGGTTTGCCATGGTTTGGGGTGTTTTGGGAAGGAGTATTTGTGGTCTAACAAGGTCCAACAAAATTGAAGGAGAGTCATAGTCATGAACATCGCAATTTCCCAAAGCTTTGCTGAAACTTGGGGCATCACATACAGCCAGGGAGGATGGGTACTTGTACCATACCCAGCTTCGGAGCGATACCTTATGTGCGTCCACTTGATACTTTGTTTTGGAGTTGTTTGGTCCTAGATCTTGCTAATAATCATTATAGATGCCATGTATGCCTTACTGCCTTACTATGTGTTGGCTTCATAAAGACACAACAGGAGGTGCTGTGATGTTCATGGTGTTTTGCGCAATGGCACTATGTAGGTTCAGAGCAGTTTTCGAACAAACTCTGTCTTGGATACGTATCCTCACCACCAAACTTGGTGTATCGCGAAGTATTCCTCATTGAATTCCGCCTAACGTGACGGGAACAACAACGGGTGATCACAGGGTTTCGACCGCTGCGACCGAACTGGACGGTTCGCTGTGGGAGGAGATTTCGGCGAGCACAACGAGGTCATCCGCAAAGTGCAGGACAGTGACTGGGACTTGCCACCTGGCTGCCATGGAGGATCATGATGTGCTCCAGCAATTCTTCTCATGACGTGCTCATTCTGACTCATCCATGTCTACTCAGCGTCCACATTCAAACACACCAAACGTCGGCGAAGAGTGGTGAAATGGGGTGAATGTAGGTCCTTCATACCCACACTACCACATTAAATATGCTTGGGAGAGGTTCCAAAAACGGTCTCTGCGAAGACGACAAAAAGAGTGCAAATCATTTGAAAAAAGGTAGGTGATTTCGGCCACATCTCCGATTCTTCAAAACACGGGTGATTTTGGGCTCCGTGTTTGGAGTTCTGCTTGAGGAACCCGGCGGGTCAGGGAACCCGTTCACACGCTCTGGTTGAAACTTCGGTCCGTTTAGTCAGTGTTGAGCATCGTCTTTTCTGTTTGGAGAACCGAGATACGCAGGTTTAAAGGAACTGTTGTTTGTCTCTTTGGAGTGCCAAACGGTACAATAGAGTGGCTTAGCACCAAGGACCAATACGCTTAATGTTTGTTCTTAATCTGGGATGGTCCTGCTGTTCTTGAAAGGATTGGAGTTGAGTTTGCATGTCCTGCGTGCTCGGCTTTGTGGATGTACACCAAAATCAGCGGTGGCATTCCGGATTTGCTGCGACACCCCGACCAAATCATATAAGAGAAGATGCAATCAGTCGTTTGTATATAGTCAATTATAGTCAACTGAAAACTCCCTTGTACAAACAGAAGGTGCTGTGGACTATATCACTTGGCCAATAATATCAAGAAACTTTGCACAATATATGAGTCTGCCAGCTCTTGGAATTTGTTTTGTAGTTTCCAGCCCTTCAGCAAATCCCAACATGACGCTCTAGACAGAAACAGCTACAGACCCGCTCTTTCTGGCCACTGCCTTCCACTTCCTTGAGAATCGCCCCCCACCACACCACAGGCATTTCGCCGCTTGGTGCGCCGCGACATCGAAGCACTCATGGCCCAGGCACTTGGTGGAAAGCCACACCACAAACCTCTACGACATGGCCATGAAACTGCCGTGCCTCGGGGCAGATCGCGCAGGATCGCGCCACGAGCAGCTGGTGTTTTTGCAGCCTTGCACACGTTTTCAGGTGGTGTTTGTGGAGTGTTTTGACTGCTCTGCTCGACCATTGTATTGCGCCCCTTGAGCCAATGGGGTCAAGTTTGGCATCGCGAGTGGGTCGACCTCTGAAGAGGACAGATGTTCCTGTGAGAGCATCTCAGATTGGGGGAATGGACACAGAGAATTCAATCCAGGAAGCCGATTCCCACCTACAAATAGGGCTCACTTCGGCAACTTGAGCCAGAGTTCACAGACCAAGCTGGCCATGGCCAGGGTGTCCAGCAAAAAGAATTGAACCATAACACCCATGGGTACCACATACTTACTTTGCAGGTGTAGATAGCAACTCCAGAGCCCATCACAGACATATGTAGGCCCTTAAGAAATCTTAAGAACACATGAGGACGGGAAGAGGTCCACCTTTGTGGCAAGGAGCTTCAATTAAAGCCGATGGGGCAGTACTGTATCCAGATTTTGCAGCCAAAGGTGGAAAAGAACTGGCTTCTACCAGGACATGAATGAGCATAGCCTTAGGGTCGACCAGCATGGATCCCGAGTCGTCTCTGCTGGTCAGCATGACGACGCAAGACAATTCGACGGATGGATCTTGTCTGCGCCCCAGGAAAGAGGATTTTAAAGAAGCGAGAGACGAGCTGATGAGATTCACTATTACTCACGACCAGTACTTGGGCCAATGGTGGTGTGAAGGCTTCTGCAAATGGCTCGCAAATGTGAAGCAAAAGATCTGGAGGCTTCGAAACCGCAAAAGTAGCTGCACTTGCTTCGGAGAGTTTCCAGGGAGTTTTCATATTGCTTTGTGCAAGAGATGTGATGCCTTCTTGAACTGGCTGTTGGTCGAAGAATGTCCAAACCTATTTTGAGCTTTATGGACAAACATAGAGGTATTTGTGTGTTTATCACTGCAGGGTGTTGACACCCTATTTTATGAACATGACATGAGCTTCATCCCAAGTGTGTGAGAGAGAGCTTTAGTGGTTTTGAAGAAATTTGGTTTCCGAAGCAGGCCGCATATCCAGCCAGCAAATGCAGCTTGTGCTTGATAACTAATGCTTGTTTCAAAAATTCAGAGAGATTTCTACACAACTTGATGTTTTTAATTTCCAACTTTCACAACAAAATGCAGGAAGAATCGGGATATGCAGCAACTTGGAGAAGGAATCGGCATGTTTTGTTTTGAACACCTGCCTTCAGCTTTGCATCAAACATGCCAGAACTCAGAACCCCAGGTTAGTTCTCAACTCTAACTCCGACTCGCCAACTTAGAAGTGGAACTTGCGAACGTGGTTGCCAAGGATCCCTGAAGCCAAACGACGCAACTCTTTGAGTCTAAAGAAATAAGAATTCCCGAGACCACTACTCCTGACTGAGTTGCCAAGGTTGATGTGGAGAAATGGAAGACAAAACCTTGTGAACACTGAACACAATAAAAAGACTCACCTGGCTGACATCGGCACATGGTTGAGCTTTGTATGGCTACAAAGGCTTTGTGATAATTACACCCACAAATCTGATGAGATCCAACAAGAACAGGTGAAAACAAAAACATAATGTATTTTCATGATCTGAATTTTACATTGACCAGCATGTCTCCCGGCATTCATTTTGCTTGCTTTGACCCCATTAAAGCTGCACGTTGTTTCTTTTCGTGGGTGCAACACATACCGTTGGTGAACTCAACCCTCCCAGCTGCAGGATTGTTCGTAAAGGACGGAGATCAGAAGGATACGCCCTTTAAAGCTTGACTGACATACCAGCACCTTCATGTCGGGGTCACCTGGCTGGAAGCCCCTACACCACTTAGGGATCTCCATTAAACACCCCTTGATGGACAAGGAATGTGTTTCTATATGATTTTTATATAGTATATGCCTATCTTCTGAGAGCGACAGGATTCACCCTCATGCTGGCGAAAGAAGGTAAGAAGATTCTATCATCTGAGAAACTGTTTGAGAAGATGTCCACCCCTTCGGCACCTGAGGAAGCGACTTGGTTTTCATCGCATTGCCTTGCGTGTGGACTTCTCCATCAGCCCTGCCAAGAGGCTCCTCATGTGCAACGACTACCAATTGGCGGTGATGTTGCGGGAGCTTTGGCTTGCCAGTTCTTTTTGTTGAAAGAGGTAGGCATTCTGATTGTTTCTAACCTCATCCAACCTCCATATGGATACAGCATTGGGATGCAAAGAATTCGTTGCACAGAACCGCAATATCCCCGATGTATCTCAAGTATGCTTCATTTTCCCCATGTCAAGTCACGAGTTCCCCCCAGTTTGATTTTTGAACATATTATATATACACTGCTTATCAGGTTGGGCTCCACTGTTGCAGGCTGTGTTGACCTTTTTGTTGCAGAGTCTTGGTCTTTTGGTTCTCCAAAGATAGCGAACGGAGCTGAGGGGGCCGGTCGGCTGTTTCACATCTGATCTCTGGCAGGGGCGGAGCAGGCACAAGTGCACAAACTCCGGGTTTGATCCTGATCCAATGCTGCTTGCTACAGGGGTCTGATGATTAGTCATACTTAGTCAGCTTATTCCTGAGTAGCAGTTAACATCCAAGAAACAAGTACCATTACATTCAGTCCCCTATACCAGGTTATGATGGCTATGCGGAGCAGGCACAAGTGCACAAACTCCTATACAGGGTTGCGTATGGTTGGGTGGGTGGGTGGGTGGGCTTCAAATTATTACGTCTTGCTCACTTCAGTATATTTCAGTCATGTCACAAGACATAGAAGACCTCGGGCCTAGAAAATCTAGGAAGACATATGTCCCAGCGGAGACCGCACATACCCCCGAGGCTATGAATGCTATGATGCTATGCGGAGCAGGCACAAGTGCACAAACTCCGGGTTTGATCATAATTATCCAATGCGGCTTGCTACACATTATTTTAAACTCGGGCGCGCGCGCCTACAGTCTCAGTTTGTTTCAAGAGCATCGGCGGACCCAGTTTTCCCTGGAAAAAAAATATCTGTCCAGGAAATCTGTCTGCACAATGTGTCGTCAGTGTCTCTGTGTCGTCAGGGTTCAATGTGTCGTCGGCGAATGTGTCTTCGGAATGTGTCGTCAGTTTCTCTGTGTCGTGAGGGTTAAAGGGGTCGTCGGCGAATGTGTCTTCGGAATGTGTCGTCAGTGTCTGTGTGACGTCAGGGGCCTTTTCTGTTCTCAGCGTGTTTGTCGCCAGACCTTGCTGGTAGGAGGAGGAATGTGTCTTCGGAATGTGTCGTCAGCGTCAGGTCCAAAGTAGCACCCCCTTCTGCAGCTAGAAAAACACATGAACAAACTATGCACATGCATCTGCTATCTTTAGTTGGTACAAGGATGTACAATACTTATTCTCTACTACATGATGACGATTGGGACTGACAATCCCTCAAAAGATGTTCTCCGATATTACGCATCGTGAGGCTTCACTTGCACATGAACCGGTGAGCCCGAACCAAGGAATTGACGAATACGGGCTCAGATTCTGAGGTCTTCAGCACGACTTTCGCTTGTGCCTTAGTCTTGGCGGCCAAGGCTCGTGTGCGGCACCACTTCAAATATGCCACTGGGCGAATGTTGGAGGTCCGCAGTGAGGTTGAGTTCTTGGATTCAATTGAGTTGGAGATCTCCCAGGCCCAAGTTCTTTCTTGCTTTCTTGCAAGTTGGATATTCCAAGTTCTTTCCAAGAAAGACGGAAAGAATTACCCATGAATGCATACACTTATGGTCGGACCAAGGTTTTTTTTTTCGCACGGGTGTGTTCGGATCCGGGGCGTGAAATTTGTTTGTTCCAGGTGCCTCATTGCAAGAAGAAGCACTTCAAAAGGAGATAAGAAGGTGGGAACAGATTAGGAGAACTACCTTGATTGTTGGAGCAGGTTGACTTGCTTGTTCGCCCGCGGATCCCCTGGATCGGAAGGCCACTCCGACCAGTCCGATGGCAGCGCATCAGGAGTCCCTCCATGACGGTTCTGCACACTTTCCCAGCAGATCATCACGAAGCAGTCAGTAAACAAACAAAAGTAATTTGGAAGATATACAGGTCGCTCTTCATCACCACTCTTCACTTTTACCGTGAATAGCATTTGCCCCAGGTTCACTACTCCCCTTGTCATCTCCAAAAAGGAGTGGAGGCCTGTGGCCCAGCCAGTGCATGTACGAGACGCAAGTCTGACGTTCCAAGGTGATTCTAAATGATTTGATGTTCATCATCCTCCTAGCGCCTGGTTTCGCAAGGGGGGTTCTGGCAGGAATTTGGGTCATTTTGGGGGCAGGAATTCGGTGGCAGAGAAAGACTCTGCAGCGCTTGATGTCAAACACAGCCGATCTTATTGTATATATTTTGTTGTGGCAGAGGAAACACACATATCAAGATTTCTCGCAAAGGTAAGTAGGTGTATTTTCTGACACTGGATAGCTGGTCATCGCTTCATGCTGCCAACCCTTGTGGCCATGATCACTCTTCGATATGATTACAACACAACATGAAAACAAAGCACACAGCTGGTGGTGGACCCAGCGGCGCAACGAAGCTGTTCAACCATCAAACCGAATCAAACCGGTTTGGAGGTGTTCTTGGTGGTCACTCAGCCATTAAACCGAACAACCTTCCGATCAACTCAGATCCACCAATCACGATGTTCATTGTCATCAATGCCAATGGTTTGTTTGGAAGCCCAAGTATAGTTGGTACATGCGATTTGCAATCTCTATGCTTACAAATTTCAGAAACCTTGTGTGAGGTGGGAAGGTGGACATCATGGGTGACATCATGTAGAGAACCAGGATCCTGTCTCACAAGACTCGATTCATCCAGCATCATTTGGGGCCATTTTTGGCACTCAGATACTAGGGGCTCTAGGGCTGAAAACAGCTTTCATCCCACGCATGACGAACCCGGCACAAATCAAGGAGCCCCTGCCTCAGAGAACTCTGCTTCATGCACACGCGGAAGGCCCCAAACAAGTTGCATTGTTCTTAGTGATGGGTACTCGACCGACCGTCAAATGTGTCAGGCGGGAGCAGGACCCAATTATTTGATCTATTAATATGCACCATAGTTGGTGTAGCAGTGTACAGTGTACATATATAGTTTAAATCTTGAGAACAACCACTAGTTGCACCCACAGAGAGGGCTACCACGCAGAGTGGACTTGTATGTCTAAGAAACTTGTCGAGCTGGCCCTTGCTGCAGGTAGTTTGACCTGATAGAACAGGGATCTATTTTTTGCGCATCTGTTTTTCTTTGCAGCTATTACTGAATCTCGGACTCGTTTTCTCTCGAATGTTGTCCAGACGTCTATCGAAGTTCTCCATGGCCTTTTCTCAGACACCTATTCCTTTTGCTGAGGGCTTTGTTGGCTATGCTGTTCGCTCTGAAACTATGCCTGGAACCTTGACGGCTCCTTGGTTCTTTAAGCATGCTTTTTTGTCCATGTTTGTGGTGGTTTTCTCAAAACTACCACGTTGGGTGACGGGGCGTGTTTTTCGGCATGTGGAAACATATCTGGAGCGCCTCCAGAGGATCACGAGGGCCATGATCGGAGGATCACGGGTGAGTTGTGTATTGAAATAGGAAGACCTCCCAAAAAGAAAACACCTGAAAGACGAAAATAGACCAGTGCCATTGGGGTGATTTGGGGTTTCCCTCTTAAAATACGCACCCATATAGCCAAGCACTGATCATTCTTCCCAGTACGGTAGGACATATCGATCTCTATCGAGTGTGACATGAGCAGTGAATAGTTGTTTCCCCCGTGTTCAGGATGACCACCTTAACCCAGATTTTGGCAAAAGTTCATAACCCCAAATAGGTAACACACTGCAAACCATAGTTAATTGAGTGCTATAATATGATATATGGAAACCTTGTCCATGGGGCAAGCGAGCTTTGGTTTCTAGGTCAGGTGGCTTGGACGAGTTCCAGCACTGGAATACTTACCAGGCTTTGTACAAGCAAAGACTGTTAATCCCAGACACTCCATGTATGCCGTAGATGCCTACATTGACCCCCCTGGCCCATGGCCCAATGGCAAATATGGCAGTCCCATGGAGTGTTTGGGATTTGTCAGACCCAGAAACAGTCCTTTTCATTTATGTTCCTTCGGATCAGTTTTGTCACACTTTCGGCATTCGTTGCCCTCCACTGACTGTTCTTCGCCAGACTTGTGGACGCAATCAGGTTCTCTTCATGGGTATCTCTACGGCGTTCCTGTTGCGGAAAGCCTTTGATCGGCTCATGTTCTATGCTACCACTTGGAAGAGCCACTTGGAGCTGAGCCAAGACTGTCGAGCACCGCGTTGTGACCGGACCTTCTCATGATGTGACATCTGTAAGAGAGATGCAGAATAGCTTTCTTCAGGCTGGAAACAGGTTACACGATGTTATATGCTAGAAGCTAATCCCTGTGAGAAGATGCAGATACCTGTAACAATTTGTGCTTTTGTGATTTTTTGTGTTTGCTTTGTTTGCTCTAACAGATTTTTGTTTCGAACACCTCGGGATGAAGTTCTCCAGCTTCTCGTGCCTGCAGAAATCACGACGCCTGCCGTGAAGACATCGCTCTACACAGTGGCACTTATCTCCGTTGAGGCTGGCAACATCCGGGTTTGCCCGTCTGACCATGCAGTCAAACCTAACTGCTGAGTGGCTGGTCATCAAAAAAGGACCATTTCGGTAACCTCTCAACCTCTCACCTCCCTCCCGCGACTGGAATGAGGCGACTCCCGGATCCTATCAACGAGTTGCACCTGTTAACGAACACCAGTATGACAGCAGATCGGATCTAGAATCCGCTTTTTCCACGGTGTTTTCAGCACGTTGCAATCAGAACGTGTCTAAGTCGACAAGGTCGGTATAGACAGCATCCAAAGCGATGTGCAAACATTGGTGTCGTTCGGCTGTCAAGTTGGGAGAATCGCAAATCGGTGGTTGACGTTGTGACATTAATACTAAAGGGACCTTCAATATGACAGGTCAGACAGGGTGTGTACTTGAAATATGATAAGTATGGGGTTCACCGCCAACTGTTGGCGTTTGTCTTTGCTTCTTTCAGGAAGTCTGGGGAATCCTTGCGAATCGAAATGTCACACCAATCTTAAGAGATCTTGAGAGTGTGGGATGGCATGAAGAAGAGCACAGCGGTCGCCTGTGACTCCTCAAACATGGCCCGACTTCGCCAAAGAATTGCATGCCTAAATCATGGGTGAAGTTGAGCTGGTCCCCATCCAACATCATATCCCAGACGACGGCTGGGAATGGCATATGGATTGAGCAGTGCATGGGATTTACATCTCTAAGGTGGAGTGCATCGGATTCCTTTTGGTACATATTCCGCTGCGGATAATGACCCGCGCTATTCAAAAGTACCTCCTGGTCAGGAAACATTGCACATCCATGCACATCCGCCAGAATCCCAGAGATATACCAACACCACAGAAACAACATATGATGCTCATCCAATTTCTATAATATCATAGTTCTGAAGAGCTTGTGATCTCTGAATCTGCGCAGCTGACCACGCGATTTGTCCTGTGCAGCTGCCACGAGCATGCCGCCTCGACTGACCGGAGCGTCGCATGGAGGTGGGGTCCACCATTCTGGTGATCTTGTACATCCTTGGCATTGCTCCCGGGCTGCCCACAAAACACGAACGAGCCAATGGTTTTCAAGGCGGACAAGCTATACCATATCAGGTGTATCAACAAACCTCACATTGTCGCACATTCTGTTTATCCTGCGTCGAGAGAATGACTTTAAAGGGATAACGTTTTTCGTCCTCATGACAGATAACACAGTCGACTGTATCTTGATCAGAGCCTTGATCAGATATATGATAAATCAGAGTCATCTATAAAGGTTTTGAAATAATCCTCATGAACCGTGTGATACCGTCGCCGCGAACGCCGATGCGGCATCAGGGTGCGTGCGTGCGTGCGTGCTTGCGTGGTTCTCCGCCTGGCATCGGATGCCACAGCGGCCGAAAAGGAAACGGTTCCGAGGTGAGCAATGAGGTCAACAATCATGGACAACAGTTTGAGTGTCTTGGCTTCACAGAACTCAGATCGCAGAACTGACTTTAACTTCCCCTTCTCACCGTTTCGTATTCGCTCCGGTGGGCACGGACGGGGGCGACTCGAGCCGGATTCGACCCGTGTGGACGGACGGACCCTGCGTCTGGGGGAACATCCACGGTGGCGACCAGGAACATTCTTTACTCTGCCCTAGGGCTCCAAATACCTTCTGAGAATGTGTTTGGGGTGGGTGCCAGGAGGGTCCAAACACCTTCTGAGGAGGTACGACTGGAGCCCTAGGGCTGGTGATCGAAGCGCCTCGTTCTGGACGGTCATTGTCAAGTTTGAGCGAGCTGGGGACAAAGGACGCTGTGAGTGGCTCCAGAAGTCCTTTTCTTTCTTTGCCCCAGCTGATTAATGTGAGTTTGCGAAATCCACTTCGTTTGGTGGCCAGGAACCTGTTATTTCCACCTGGACAAGTGCCTTTTTGTTCATCCATTTGGACAGCAAGACTGCCAGTGGGGCATCACACGCATCATCCATCATCATCCACCCAACTCTCAACCACGTCTATCTGAGACACGTTTCACTGCCTCAACGAAGCTTCGTGTCGCCCGTTCGCCGTGCAGAAAAACCTCGCCTCGCCTTGAGATGCGTGGACTCTTCGGGCGAAGAGTCCTAAGGAGTTGGGAGGAGTTTTGGAAGCGCCGAAAAGAATGTATGTGGCCGTGGACGAACAAGGCTCATAAAGAGGGATGCTTGGCGACGAAGCGGAGCGGACTGACGAAGCGGTCGAGCGGCTTGGCCACCACACTGGTGGGCATATTGTTGGACTTTCATCGATGAAGGCCAGTGGTTGTTCCTTCCCAGAGTGGCTGAGTTTATATTCTGTGAAAGATCGTCATGCCCAAGGGTCCAATTAAAAGCATTTGGAGGGTGCACGGTGCATGTTTGCTTGACCTTGGGGTGTTGACTGTGACAAGATCTGATGGATCCCCCAAGGAAATTCATGGGGCGCTCAATGTGTAATGTCAAATTGATTGAAATTGTGTATGCGGACGCCAGACACTTCTTAGCAAAAAGGGATAGGAATCACATTTCTACTTTGATTTGTGTTCTTTCCGATGTGGCTTCTTTGTTTGTTGAATTTTGGGGGACTATTCTTGTCGTTTTTTGTGTTGTTGTTGTTGTCACTGTTTGACCTGTTCGCAGCTTATAAATTGTACAGTATAGTTGCTTCTCGGGTTTGGGTGTTTCCATACGGCTTTTGCAACAAAGTCTATTGGAGTCTATTGGTTGAAATCGTTGCTTGGAATAGAATAGTCAGTCTATGTTTTCCCAATGGATTCATGCAACTCCTGCATGAGTCCACGCTTGGCAATTCCAAGACAACAGCCTCGACTTCTGCCGCGCTCTGAGATGGATACTTCCAGCATCATCCCAACCTCTTGGCCTTGCTCCTTGGTTATCGGATTGGCGGTGACACGTGACTCACGTGGTGAAATGTTTCAAGTGAGCAACTTCACACAAAGGATTGCTGAAAAGACTGTTTCGTCATGGCTGTGTTCTGATTTAGTTTTTCACAATTCCTTTTGGTCTTGTATACTCTTGTATACAGTATATATTCTTCTGCATAATTCTTGGTCCCGGACTCACGAGGCTCATCCTTTGTCGCTGGGCGATGTTCATCAACAGCCTGCCACTGGGCGATGAACGGAACGCCCGGAAACAGACGCATGTTGCGGTGGAAGCATGTCATGTACCAGGACCGTCCAATAGTTGGTTTTTGGACACCCCTTAACCTGTAAGAGGGCTAAGAAAATAGACACCTCTTGGTGTCGGTCCTGGTAATCTGAATCTCTGAAGGCAGAATCCACTTTTGGTGTCAGGAATTCCACTGAAGGGTTCAGGTCTTTGACCTTCAAGAGAGCCACAGTTTGGGCGATGTTGGATGACGACTGATCTCAAATGATGAATGTTCCATGATGGTCTTCCAAATAGTGAAATGCACAGCTAAGCAGCTAGGCCCCTAGGCTTTTCTGAGTGAATCCGGAGCAACAAATCACGGGGACTGTTTTGCTGAAATCATGATTCTTCATTAACCGTTGATCATGACCTGCTTTCCTGAGCACATCTCCAACAGTGGAACAGACGGGGATATGAAGGAAATCTCCAGTTCCTGCACTGAGAAAGACGGACAGTGAGAGTTCAGTTCACCTGGTCGCCTGATCGCCTTGGGTCTTCGTGTTATTGTCCTTTGTCCAGTCCTGGGCCGAAACGCCCGGCAGGCAGTTGGCCAGTGGATTGGGGTGTTCTTTTTGGATGGATGTGCATGCAATTCTGAAGTCCTAGACACCCCAAATTCATGTGAAAGTGGCATTTTTCACGCTAGTTCGTGACGCATTGTTCATCAACTTTCATACTTTTTGTCCCACTTCGGCACTTGCAGGATCCCAACACACCAATTCTCAACTGAACATCAAGTGCCGGAGTCGTTTGTTCTCCTTCACCGGCCGGCTAGGCAGTTGATTGAATCCGTGGGACGCAACGTGGTTCCCCTGGCCCATGCGGTCACGCGTGCGGCCTCCCTCATTTTCTTGCTCTTCCTGAGACTTGGCGAGTCATCATGCGATTCCCTGACGTTGTCGATGTTGCTTTTTGGTTGGCACCACATCCATCGATGAAACAGCACAGGAGCTCAACCAGCACAGGTTCAGACCCCTCAACGTCATGCACTCGATGCATTTTGTTCGTTTTTGTTGTGGTCTGTGAGTGAGGGACACATGGAGATCGCACCACAGGGGTGGCGCCGTCCGTCGACCAGGAACACCTGGTTCACCGGCTTGAGGACTTGCTCGCTGCTGGCCACCTTCCATGCCTATTTTGTCTTTCCTTCGCATCAGGAGGCTTCCTTTGATACAGCCTTGGATCGCGACTTGGACCTGGGGAATCAATCACAAGGACTTCGAAAGGCTGATGTCTTCCCGCGAACTGCCCACCTCTTGCCAGGCACAACTCCACCTTGCATCCTTCTGGTTCCACATAATGCAGTTACTTTGTCCCAGCCACATGTGCATTGGTGACAGTGGGAACGTACTCACCCACGACATCTTTGGCAGTGGTTTCTATGTTAGCTTTTGGGTGGAATGCTGATGATATCTGATCATCATCCCACCCTACTCAGCATAGTTACTTTGATCTAGACCAATAATTTCTGCAGCCAGAAACGGGCCACAAACGGCCTGCAACAGGCGTTCCGTGTCGCCTTAGGCCTCATCGATATGTTCCGCTTGGAGATGTTAAGCGACTTCGATCTGGATGAGCTGCTCCTCGGACGGACAAACAGCGACGTTAGAAACCCGGGCCGAGGTGCACAGATGATCACAGATGTTTCCAGATCTTAACAAGACCCTGCGCAGGGCGGATTGAGAGAAAACACATATTGCATTTTCTGAATTAGATGACAGGGGACCTCCCCAGTTCTTGACTTGGCACGCATCATTTTCTGGGTTTGTGGCACTTTTGAGCACAGGACTGCAAGACTTCGCAGTTGAAGGGTTCATGTGCAATGGGATTCATCGACTCTAAACACCAACATAATTAACTCTGCGATGTTTTGTGTAGCAACAAGGATGAACAAGGTCTCTCTTCACATAATACATCGAACCTGTTCCGCTTGATATCCCTTGATCAATTAGTTTAAGCTGTCGATCATCCCTTGATATCCCTTTATCCCTTGATATGTGTCTTTATTTCTTCACGATGAACGCCTTTTATCTTTAGATCCAATAGGATTCTCGTAGTAGAATGTTTCTCAGTATATGGGTTCTCACCTGCGTCAACATGATCATTCAGAAAGTGTTGTCGTTCTCCAAAGTTCCTTCTTTGAGAACCTTTGTCCTTTAAGAGGTTCCTCCCTCAGAAATCTACTTCTCAAGGCCTTGAAAGGTTCCTCCGTTCCTTCAAAGAACATCTCTTAAAACGCTGGTCACGGTCTTCACCTCTTCTCCTCTCCTCAATTGCTGATCCACGGGCCGTCCAAAAACATCGAGCACAAACTGAAAGCCAGCTGCCCAGCCCGGAAGACACTGGACAGTGTGTACTTCACATTTGGATGCCGCTTTTGCTGCTGCTTTTGCTTTTGGGTGTTACACAAGTCCATCCGCATCAGGAAACATCAATTATTTCCCAGGAAAACATCTTTTGCACGGACTATTCTGGCACGGTCTAACAAGCAGACATCCTAGCGGGGATAGATGAAACATTGGTGGGGGAAACGTGCTTTTTCCAGAGGTCATTGTAGACATGATGATATTTGGAGTCGATTGGGTCGTCTTCAGCGTTCGTTTTCTTCACCTGCCCGATGTCCCAGGCAAAATCGGCGTCAGAATGTGAGTGGCGATATTTCTGCGGCCCATCTCGAGTTCACAGGCCGGTGGTTTACCTCAGTAGCTATACTTTCAACGTTGAAACATGCTTGAAGATCGAAATTCAATGCTCCAAGCAATGCCTATAACAACTAACCTACTGCCTACTGGAGCAAGAGAAGCCAAGAACAGCCCACCCATTTGTTCAAGTGGGCTCTGACCTTCTGCACTTGGGCAGGCAGCATGTGGCATGCAGGGCAAAGGCGCTTCGATACGTTGGGGTTCTGGGGGGATCAAAGAGATCAACCTGCTGGCGCACGGCGCACTGGGGCCTTGTGATGGATGGTTTGCTTGGCTCCATCGTGTTCTTGAGACGCACAGATTGAGTGAACTACCTGAATAGACAGGTTTGATATCAAGGGTGCTCACTTTCAACATGTCGTTCGATGGCCAGGATTTTGAACGCCTTAGGTCATAGGATTATGGGCCAATGGTATCAATCAAAAGACACTGAATATACTGAAATTGATCGCGGGCATGCTTTTGATGCTTGCACAAAACATTCAAACAACTATAGTTGTAGATTTGTACGGCTCTCTTGAATGGGAAAACAACTAACGCGTTCAACACAAAACTGGCCGTTCGTCTATGACAAAACGGGTTTCACTGGGGTGTTCTTCTTCCCCGCGACACGGCACCCGCACGTGCACGCAGGCAATATCAAGGAATCCGTGTGGGTTTCGTCCTGATTAGCCTCTTCCTTTCGGAGCCCTGGCGGGTACGGGGGGAGGGTTGGAGCAGCCGGTCCTAGTCAACAGCTGTGGGTCATGGCATCAGGAGACCGAACTGACCTACCTGGGAGGTCAAACTCCCTGCATGGTGAGACTGGTCGGGCTCCAGGTTTTCTTCCATCCGCATGCACTGGAACTTCTACAGTTTGGGCTGCTGTTCGTTGGGACTTGGTTCGGCCAAGAACCCAACTGCGGTGGCTGGCGGACGTCGTACGTCCGTTTCGGTGGGAAGGGTTTTCACCTGCTATGGCCGGCGAATTGGAGACAGGCAGTTGTTCCACGTGTTTTTTATTGCAAGAAAAGCACTGTTTAAACGGTGTTTGTTTCAAACTGTGTTCGATCCCTAAAATCAACACATCAACCCTAAGCAAACCCTGAACCAAACCCAAAAGGCTTAATCAATCAAACATACACCGTACCTCAAACAATAGTCCCGGCCCGAGATACATGTAAAGATCCCTGAACAAACCTCCCAAGCACTGATCATGCTTGGGCCACTTACCTATAGGAACCTCCTTTCGGTGTTGAGAGTAATCCTCTCCGAGAGAAGCACCACATGGAAAGTGCATGGAACCACCTGTTTGGTTGGACCATTGGAGAAGTGTTATGGGTCGCATCTTGAAAGAAGGGCCGAACTCTTCCACTTCCATGATCATGTTTTCGTTTTTTGGACGCACCATGTCGGTCCGAATGAAACCATGTCCGCCATGGCGATGTCAGGTCGTGGCCATGAATACCTACATTGGTCTGCTGGGAGAGCTGTATAGTGAGGCTGTGAAGAAGAAAAATCAGATCCTTGGCCTACTGGGCCAGGCCCACGGTGGCTGCAGCATGCTGCAGCATGTCCTCAACCCCCGACCGTTTGAACCCGCAACATGTTCTTATTAGATTCTTATTGGTGGAAGGGATCTGGTCCTTCATGAATCTTCGGTTCGAGCTGTTTTGGACATCGAATCCAAAACCTTGGATCTGCAGTGTCTATATTATATGTGCTTCTATATCATCCATCACACCCAAGCCTCGCCAAAGCTTGCTGAGCGACCATTTGGGGTTCATGGCTCTAGAGTTCAGGCACTCCTCCTGGTTGAAGTAGGGACTTTTTGGATGTGATATTCCACCGCCACATCTTCATGTTGGCCAATCATCTCTCTCCCCCTCCCTCTCTCTCTATCTCTCTCTCTCTCTCTTTCTCTCTCTCTCTCTCTCTCTCGCTCTTTCTCTCTTGCAGTGTGTTTATTTGTTGCCACAACTTGGATCGCGTCAGGATCTACAACAACTATTTGGCCACCGTCCTGTGGCCACATTTGTCCATGCCACTTGAATCGCACCATATGGACCTGGAACGGTATCCTGAAGACAACAATGGTTTTCGGGATTGCTTGAGACGACTGTATCCAGATTTGCTTGCTCATCCGGTAAATTCACAGGAAATCATATAATTTCGATCATCCGGTCGGCTGATCAGTAAATCTCCCGTCCTGGTGTTTCTCGTGGCCATGAGTAATGCCTCGTCGACACCTCCAATCCGGAGGACACTTGGGAGACCTCCACCCAGCTTGATAGCCTGGACGAAGGGAAATATGCAAACCAGTCTACCCATTGGTCCTCCCTATTAAAATACATACCCATACCAATACACACCCAATCTGGACCGTTGGGACCGTTGGGACGACCGCACGACGGCGCCATCACTCGTAGGCGCCATCGAAGCAACAAGTGGTACTCCGACAAGACCGGCTGGATGTGCTCCTGTCACTCGGTGGGCCTGAACTAGGTGAGTGGGGTCGAAAGGACCTGAACATGGCCTTTCAGTGAACGGTTGAAGGTCATGTTTGGGTTCTTCCGGATAGTACTCGCAAAACCTTCATATCTCCTGGAGCCGTGTCTTCCGTGTCTTTACTGTTTGTCAAGTAACGACTCTGTCCCTAAATGTCATGTGCAGCTGAGCTGATGCGACTGTCTTGTTTGGATTTTGCCGGCTGATAGGTTGCGGTTTTATGCCGAACCTGTGTGAGGGCATTGAGAGGTCCATAGATGTAGGGATTGGCCAACTGGTTGCATCAAGATTGTTGTGATGCAATCTGGCCCTGACAAAGCAAAGACCCGTCTTCAATCTGTTCATGAGCCATTCTGGGGTGAGCCCACGTAGCCGAGCATTGATACTGTAGCAATGATGTTCATATCAACTGCTGGGCTGTGCATACCAGAGCACGAGAGAACTTCGCATGGAAACGTTCTTTTGAGAGCTCTTTCTTTGCAAGTCTTTGAGCCGCCAAGGCAATCAGCGGTTTGCACTCGGATTCTTCACTGCCATATAGCCCCAACTCAAATCCCACATTCTTTTGAATCTGTGGCTTCACGTTGACCTTTCCGAAGTAGCTACACAATGACGATCGCCAATTCGCGGGTCCTGCAACAACTCCCCGCGACCGGGGAGAACGACGATGGAAACGAACACCGACCAAGACCGTCAACGACCGACTGGTGTTCCCAACGACTATTCGACAGTCCGGGGAGAACACCACCGTCAACATGTTTTGAGGCGGAGTTTTTAGATTCTGCTGACTCGAGACATGTCATTTTAGGCCAATGTATTTTCAGAGAAGACTGCTGTTTGTTGAGTTCCGCCCTGCTAAGCTGCTACGCCAGACTCAAATCCTTTGTTGGCCAAGATTAAAAAATACGATTACAGATAGATACCATAAGATGCATGTTACACATAGCAGTCAGATCATGTTTCTCACATGGCAGAACTACTGCGATTTGATTGTTTTTCCTGAATGTTGTTGGGGTGTTGCACTTGGTGCATGTTGACAATATTCCATGTTGACAAATATCGGGTGGACAGAGTATTTATACCCCAAAGCCTCTCAGACTGTATTTGGTCAATCTTATGCATAAGGCGGCATAAGGCTCATAAATTCATAAAGTATCTATGAATCAAGTGTACTGCGCGTTTGGGGTGTATGAAACACATTGCAAAAATAAACAACTTGTTTGTGCAACTTGCGTGCCCCCAAATGGACAACAATAGAATATGTCCTCAATCCCCGTAGACTGTGTTTGAAGCCCATCAATCAGTCTGGGAAAGTCAAGTCAAGATCGTGAACCACATTCGCTGAATATTTTCCTTGACACATGTTCTAAGGCAGCCAAAACCAGTGCATTGTCCATGAATTTCAGACAGATTTCAGACACGTCTCGAGTTTCAGGTTCGCCCTGTGCAGAAGAGCATGAAGACGAGGATGATGGAGTGCTGCTTTCATTGGGGAATTGCATCTAGTGTACCCTTGAGACTAGGCAGGTCACGGTTGCAATTGCAATGATGTCTCAGATGACTAGGGACATGGAAATATGTGTTGACAGTGTTTCTTTGCCACGAGGTTCCCCAAAGCTCAGAAAGCAAAACTATAACATATTATAATTATTATATATGCATGCTATAATTTGCCTGGCCTGGCAGTTAGAAGCTGCTGATGAACCACAATAATATGCTGGTTTTCATACCATTAGGATGGTGTCAGACTTCTTCGATTCAATCAGATGTCACAGGAGTCGGCACATGTAATCATAGACATAAATAAGCATGTATAATGCAATGGAAGTGAGTTTGTGTTATCATTTAGGGGTCCACAACAGTAGAGTCACTCAGTACCAGCACCCTCACTGCCAGGGTCTTTCCAACCCTCGAAGGCCTGTTAAGGCCCTTTCCAACCCGAATGAGGAGACCTGTAGAGTCAGGTGCTCTCACGCCATTCCGCCGTTCGGCATCGCATTGAGGAGCCACTCAAAGGAGTCGAGGCCTGCTGGATGCAGCATGGCAGAGATGTGTGTGTGTGTGTGTCCACCCCTGGACAAAGGGTTTTCCACCGCTACTCCTTCCACAGTTTTTCAACCACCTTCTACAGGCAGGGGGGCAGAGAGGACTTGCAAGGCTCTGCCCAACGAAGCTCTTTGCAAGATCCTAGGAAGCGGAAGCTGATCACTTCCGTGTACCTGCTCGTTCTTTCACAAGCTGTTACTCCACTTTTCCACTTCTTGATTCATGGTTCTTCACGATTTCCACCCCATAAACATTCGTCCCCAGCAGCCGTGCAGCCGGTTCGCTTTCCGCCGCTTGCGAGTGCCAACATTGTTCAACAATACTGTTTCAGCTGACCTTTCCACCTTGCTGTTCCATCACCTTCCTTCCCAACGTGGTAACTGAGTCACTGAATACAAGTGTCAGAGTGTGTTTCGCTCAGCCGTCCCACTCGGGTGCTGAGTGTGATCCCCGTCACAGGGGCGCGGTTTTTCACGTCGGTAAGCAACCAACCCAACATGCCACCTCTCACCGGATTTCCACTGGAAGTCATTGACACACCCATTGAATCAACTGATACATCGGCCGCCGGGCCCAAACACGGGAGTCCCTCGACAGCCGCCGGGCTTTAAAACGGTGCACTGCTAAACCCCCAATGAGGCAGGTTCCCCCCCACCCCCCCCCCCCC